TGTTACTACCGCTAGTGAGGACACTCACTCTCCACAGTCTTTGAATCTGCTCGATCAAGTATTTGGGGAGCAGGAGCAGTATTCTTCCCTACATCCAGCCCTGATTAACTTTGGTGGAGAGACGACTAGCTCTTTGGTATCTGGTGAGCCATTTATTAAGAAGACCACAGCGTTCCAGACTCTTGCATCAACCAGTGGCCCGACAAGAGAGTTAGTTGCACGCAAGCGGTTTTCAGGTCTGGGTATCCGACGGCCAGTAATCCCTCTGTGCCTGTTGACGCAAGCAGAAGGAAACAGTCAGCTGGATGCCAAGCTACACAAGACCTCTTCAGTGAAGCACTTTTTTACGTGGTTTTCGTCTAGATCCCTGTGCGATGCAGAGCCTCATCAATCAAGTCTTCTGAACCAGCAGCAAGAGCAGCAGAAAGAGCTTGCTGAAAAAGCTCCTAGTCGGCCCAAGACTGATTCCCCACCACGATCTGCTTTGTCGACTCAGGCCGTTCAATTTAGCTCAAGTCCCCCGGTCAGTATTATTCAGCCAATATTAGTATTACTTATTTTTCGTTCATAAGTAGGGCTTCGAGACCTGACCTCAACATATGAGTTTTTCTGCTTCGTTGTTAACACTCCTATTGCGAATACGGTTTTACGTTCCATACAGGTGAAGTGCAAATCCTTAGGCATCACAAATCTAGTTCCCAAAATGATAAACATTGTGGCTTTTTGTATGAAAAAACAAATCCTTGCCACCTTATTTGCTGCACTCAAGTTTAAAACCTATTTTTCCTCTTAATATTGTCTAACAAGGCTCGAACGAAAACAAATTTAATTATAATCTCTCCCATATGCATCACTTAATCACTAATGCTATAATATTGGTTTTACTTTGAAGTTGTTCTCCTATCTCGGTCACTTACGATTATATCCATATTAATTGTATAAAGTGCTTCTCCGATTTGATATTTTGTCTCTATCTTTGTATATGAGATGTATTCAGCCAATTTCATTTAAGGTGGGATGACGGACTGGTAGTATAATTTTCTCACAATGATATGAGTAGAGCTGACATTTCCAGTGAATTTCACATGACCTTGCTTTCTTGAAAGGTGTTCTCATCCAAGCTGAGGTGGACTGCAATTTCCAACTCGCCTAGGTCTTAGCAACGCCCCAGCGGGGGTCAAACTATGACAGTACAGCACGCGAGCTTAACACGTTAACCACTCGGCCACATTACCGCGAATGCCTTTGGGTCACAAGGCAGATGTGCATTTCAAAGAAGATTAGGCCTTTTCTTATATCACTTTCTTTGGTGGGATTATCGATGAAGCAAACGTACTCTTGGCATAACAACCGGCTACATTACTTATTTTTCGCATATAAGTAGAGTTTAGAGACTACCAGTAAATCAGTTATATGAGATGTATTCACCTGATTTCGTTGAAGGTAAAGAAGGACTGGTACTAGAATTTTCCTACGATGATATGAGTAGGGTTAACGTTTCCATTCAATTTCACATAGGCTTGCTTTCCATTCTGGATGAGGACAACTTTTGAGAAGGTAAGGCTATGTGAAATTCAATGGAAACGCCAGCTCGACTCATATCATTGTGCGAAACTTCTACCACCAGTCCTTCATCACCTTAAGGTAAATACATCTCATATATCTGTATATTTAGTCAAACAATATAGCTTGTGACACTGGTTGGGAAAGCTTAGGTTGCGGCTTTTTCAACCCTTAGCGAGACATGTGACTAACGATTCTAAATCTTTGTTTAATTAGCAAACAAATAAACAAAAATGGGATCAATCTGCGCAATAGCTGAGGAAACTTTGGATAAAGTAAAAATTCTGCGCTAAGTAAACTTAGTGATATATTCTTTAAATGAATATATTTGTTTTTATCTGCACTTTCTAAACTACCATTTTATCATATTAAGGTATAAAACAGTTGCTCAATATTTAATTTCAATTTTTAATTAGTTACCAAAACATGATGAAGTACTTCAGAGATCTTTCTAGTCCTAAGACCTTTTTCATCTTTATCATATTTTATGCTGCCTATAATAACAGCCTTTCTATTTCCATATCAAGTGTCATAAAAGAAATTTTGATAATACTATCTACTTAATGTTTGCATTGCAAACTTCACACATAAGTAAGAATAATTTTGTGGACTGCAAG